GGTGCGTGTGCATACACACACACACACACACACACACACACACACACACACTGAGTGGCAGGACCAACATAGCTTACAACCTTTCTGCCCCTTTTTCTGCTGCCCACTTCAGTGTTGGTCTGAATATACACAAAATATGCCACAGCTTCTCAGCAATCCTGAGAAACTTCCCAGCCCTGTTCCGATGTCACCAGTGAATCTCCTCAACAGCAGAGCACACCATTTGCAGGAAGCAGAGAACCCTTCCAGAATGCAGGGTGGAAGTGAATTGCTTATCCAGCAGGGGTCTTTTTCTCTTGCTAGGGGTCCTTAAGAACAGGGACTTCTGCCTGCCTGTGGACTCAGACTCTGTCAGCAGCTGTCAAATGCCAATGACTCTTCAGTTAGTGATGGGATTGGTATGTCTACCTTCTGCCCTCTGTGCTGGAATTTTTTTTTCTTTCTAGTGCATGTGCAAGTCTTGTGGGTGCTGTCATGATGGCTGTGGGTGCAACTGCCCTGTTGTACCTGGGAAACACTGTTTCCTTGATGCTATAGGCCACCTCCAGCTCTTACAATCTTTCTGCCCCCTCTTCTGTGAAGAGCCCAGAGCACTGGTGGGAAAGGGTGTGATATATGTGCCCCCATTCATGGTTAAGTGTACCAAAGTCGCTTATTCTCTGCACATTGATTGGTTCAGGGATAGGGTCTACATGTTGATTGCCATCTACTGCAAAAAGCTTCTCTGCTAGAAGTTGAGAGATGCTCTGATCTATGTAAATCATTAGGAGCCATGTCATACTATGCTGATTTAGCTGAGTAATAGTACTGGGTTCTCCCCAGGACCTAGGACCTATCTAGCCTCAGGCCTCTTTAACAGTGCTGTGTATGGGTTACATCTCATGAAATGGAACTTAGATCCAACAAGACCGTGGTTGGTTATTTCCATAACATCTGTACCACTGTTGCACCAGTGGGTAGATCTTGTCAGGCCAATCACTGTTGTGGCTCACAGGTTTTGCAGCTAGGTGAGACTGAGGATTAATTTTCTCCTCCAGCATCAAGCATAGCACCACTCAGAACCATGGATGACAGCCAGTAGGGATGAAGCATCCTGGAGAGCACCAGCTTGATTTCTTCATGTTCTGTCACTCAAGTATGTGATGTCTTCACCAGAAAGATCTCACCATGAAGCTCAGTCAAGAGTATTGACAATAGCCTGTAATGGTTGGGGATGGGGGTCTATGTAACACCATGGACCAACAACTCAAAAATCAGTAACCAATTACTGGTAGAAAACCTATAATCTTAAACTGTAACCCTGTGTGAAGTCACATAATTAACGCAAGGACCATGAAAAAGGTTGGCAATGGTAAAACATTTCTGAATGTGCAATAATCAAAAATTAATTCAAAATCAAGCAGGTGATGAATCTGAGGTGTTTCTGACAGAGTTCATCAGAACTGTGATACTTCATAACCACCTTGGTTCTGAACATTCAACATGTACTTTGTGCTACACAAACCATCACATCTCAATTAATGTTGCCTGCAATACTTTGGCTCAGATTCAAGATTGTTGTATGTTTTGAGTTGCAGTGTTTATATTGTGCTTTTTCTTCCTACAGGAACACAATAAATTACAGAAAATTATGACTTATAACATTTCCCTACCATCTTCGGGGTAGCACCGACCAAATCAGTGTATCCTTCAGTTGTATTGTGTTAGAATGTTTCATTTTTTTAAACTGCTGTTTGAATTGCTGACATGAATTTCAAAAAAAATAATTGAATGAAATTTGGCTTGGGGTTACAAATAACCTCCTTCCAACAATTTCTTTTCTCTTTTTTTAAAGATTTATTTGTTTATTACATATACAGTGTTCTGCCTACATATATGCCTGTAGGCCAGAAGAAGACACTAAATCTCATTACAGATACTTGTGAGCCACCATGTGGTTGCTGGGAATTGAACTCAGGACCTTTGGGAGAACAGCCAGTCCTCTTAACCTCTGAGGCATCTCTCCAGCCCCAACAATTTCTATAATAACCTTAAACACACTCCTACTACTTTGTAGTATGAATTTATGAATGATGTTCTCAGAATTGACAATTATAAAATAAAAAACACAAATGATGTTTTGGTACTTCATCCTGCACTGCTCACTGTACAGGGGAGATATTTTTATAGAAGATATGCCCATCTCGTTAGCATACAAATTTGCCTTTCATGATTTGGCTATGAAGTATCCCCATAGGCTCATGTGTCTGAACACTTGGTCCCCAGCCAGCAGTGCTGGTTGGGAAGCTTGTGGAACCTTTAGGAGAGGGGCATTGTTAGAGGAAGTATGTCACCGAGAGTGGTCTTTGTAGCCTGGCCCCAATTCCTATTTGCTCTCTGCTTCCCAGTATCCCTGCTGCCTTGCCTTCCACATCATGATGACTGTATCCCCTAGAACTGTGAGCCTAAAAAAACCCTTTCTCCCTTAAACAGCTTTTGTCAGGTATTTTATTACAGAAATAGAAAACTAAGACACATGGTTAATTTTTATACGTATATTCCACAAACATGTAAACACATACATATATAGGCACACACATACATATATGAATTGTGTTATGATAAAGTTCTTTATGGCATATTACCAGTATTTAGTTTGGGGCTTCATAGGAATTTCTCAGTGAAAGGTTTCAAGAAGGAAAAGCCTGAGAGTCCCTGGTTCTGGGCCCTAATCAACAACTACCTTTTCTTTAGTTTACAGTGAAGTGACAGTAGGAGCAACTTTTTACCACTTTTAGATGAATTTTCATTTCTTTACATATTTATCCGATGTTCATACTCAGAGAATATACCTGGGTCCCCCCTCAACCTACCCCCAGCATTCCCCAAAGTTCACCCGTCTTTCGTGGGCCTGCCATTCCTTTGCATTGCTTCTACAGAGTTCCTGATTTGCCTCCCAGATGGAATCTAGCCACATGCATGCAGGCAGGGCAACAGTAAACTAACAGAAATACTGTCTGCTTGACCTAAATAAACAGAAGACTGTTTTCATCCAAAAGAAAAGTCCAGAACCTGGGAAACTTTTTAAACTAAAACATGAGCATAGTTTGGAGCTCAATTTTAAGAATGACGACTTTGAAGGTTTTAAAATACTTTCTACCAAACCACTTACAGTGATGGCTTTAGGGTTCTTGACAGGATCTCACACTGTAGCCAGGCTGGCCTCAAACTTTGTCTTCCTACAGATTACCCATGGCTGCTATCACACCCAGCGTATCGTACTCCCTTAATAACTAACTTTATAGAGTTGGATCCCTTCAACTGGCCTTCTCACGTATCTGGATGGGGTTTACAAATATCTTTTTTTGTGTATGTCTGAGTCCTTGAATGCATGTATGTGAACCATGGCATGCATGTATGGAGCCCATGGAGCTCAGAAGAGATGTCAAATTCCCTGGAACTGGAGTTATAGGTGATTATGAACTACCTGGCATGGGTGCTGGGAACCAAACTCGGATCCTCTGCAAGAGAAGGTAAGAGAACTCTCTAGCCCCAGGACTGGCAATTTTTTAAAAAAATGAAACATAAAGATCATGGAGTGTGTACCCCCCCCCCATGTACAGGAGAGGCAGTAAAAAAGGATGTTTGAAGTCATGTACATGAAGAGAAATACACACTGCTGTGTACAGAACAGTGTGTGATAAATAACACCACATGATTCTGATGTTTTTATTAGGTCCATAAAAAGTAGTTTTCATTTATAAGATCAAAGTCAGACAGAAGAATTTGGGCATACAGTTGGTACTGATCAATTGAATCCACACCAAAACTCACTGTGGACACATCTACATTACATTCAATGTCTGCCTATTACATGACACTCATGACAATGTCAACACAAAATGGACACCCAACCTTTCAGCTCTGTGAATATCTATTGTTTCAAGACAAGGGCAACTTTTTATTTTTCAGCCAATTTCTATTTGTTGAAGAACACAGCAAGACTATTATAAGGTTACATGCTTGATTATTATGTTTCCATGTTACTGAAATACAGCTAAAATTTTTAGGGTTTGATCACCTATCATTCTTCTGATTAACTATTGACCTTAAAATACAGGATAATTACACACACACACACACACACACACACACACACACACACACACACATTTCTTGTGTAGATTTATCTTTTCTTATATTATGTGGATGAGTGTTTTGCCTGCATGTGAATGTGTTACCACATGTGTGTCTGGTGCTGGCAGAGGCCAGATTGAGGGCACTGGATCCCCTAGAGCCAGAGTTACAGATGATTGTGAGCTGCCATGTAGGTACTGGGAAGAGAACCTGGGTCCTCTGCAAGAATGGTACATGCTCTTAACTGCTGAGCCATCTCTCCAGCCCATCTTTTTGATATTTTAAAGTCTTTAAAACTTAATATAATTCTAAAAACATATGTGCCTTGTGATTCATTCATTAAACATGATTTATTTTAATACAGGTCAAAAAGTTCAATTAATTAACCAGGTCTCTTTTCATTTCCTGCCAGCAAAGGTTGGTTCGGTTTTAGATCTGATTACATATCAAAAGCAGTAGTGAATAATTTATTTCTTAAGATTAACTCCACAAATTACTGGGTAGCTCAGAAACTATTCCATTGCTTATAAATGTAAGTCACTGAAAATCCTTATGTACCACCAGCTCCCTGTGTCAGAATTATCTTTAGACTCTAAAACTTCTGTGGGCTCCACATCAGAACTAGTGAGTAAGAACTGAGGATGCCAGCGTTTTCTCAAGTTCCCAAGTGAGAAGGACACATGCCTTAATGTGGGAAATCCTGACAATAGCGACTAGACTGGGGGTGTGCCTCGGCCTTTAAGGCACACCAGAACCACCGGAGGACACTTCAAGTCAAAAATACAACAGATTCACTTCCATGGGCTGAGGGAAGTGTCCAGGAACAGCATTTTAAACAACCAACACCATTTGTCTAAAATCACCATGAAAAACCATCTACAGCCTTTGTCAGATGTCAGATATTTTATTATAACAGTACATTCTGTAATTTAATGACATTGTCCTGCAAGTCCTAGTGACTTCTGCTCTGGGAGTGACAGAAAGTGACTAAGAGTAACAGCCTTTCAATAGACACATTTGTATTCTTAAAGAGAAGGTCAAGAGCAGTGACTTGTGAGATCATGATTCATTCATTAAAGAAGGATAAGGCTCTTTCAAAGTAGCTAAGCCTTTAAACTGAGGAGTTTTTAACATCATTCATCTTTAATGGCCTCTTTATCATTCGCCCAGTATGTGACCAGCAGTAGTGACTCCAGCTTACTAAAGGTGGAACATGGAACATAAAAGATGCGCATTCTTCTCAGACCTTTGTAGTTCTGGTCTGCTCACACACAGTAGCGTTAGAATCCAGCTGCATAGGACACACTAACATGGGAACACATACTAATAGTCTTGATTTCTAACAATGAAACTTCATTTGCCCTACAAAGTAAGTTCCCACACACAACATCAGGAATATAACTAAAGGTATCGTGCTGCCTCTTTTGTATACTATTTACTGACATTCCACCGACCCTGTAATTACACATGACATGAGCAACATTAGACTTTGTTCTACTTATAAAACCACTGAGCCAGCCAGTGCTTTTAGTGCCTACTTCTAAAGGCACACGCCTTTAATCCCAGCACTCAGCAATAAGAGGCAGGTGGATCTCTGTGAGTCTGAGGCCAGCCTGGTCTAAATAGTGAGTTCCAGGACAGCTAGGGCTTTGTAGAGACCTCATCTGAGAAGAAAAGACAAAGAACAGACATGCCCTCCTTCACTCAGCATAAGTGCGTGAAGAGTGTCTGGTGGGTCCACCATGGCTGAACAACTTTACGAATGGATGGAACCCTGCTTAGAATCCCAAATCTACAAAAGCACCAACCCTGAAAAACAGAATGGCTGGAAGAATCTGTCTGTCATCCCCCCCACACACCCTCATCTAAGGTGCTGGATTTCCAGGGTACACACACTTCCTGTGTTCTTCACAAAGGCTTGGTGGCTTCCTTCCCAGATTTGTGATCAGACAATTGGAATTTCTCTTTAAGCAATGAAAAGCAATTGTCAAAACTCAGTGTTGCAGTGCAAGAAAGGCCTGTCATCATGAGAGGAGGAAGAGAAACTTTAAAATCAATTCTCAAGAAGCTCAAGCACTTGTACTCACTTTGAACTAGTGTTCAGACTCTTGTAATAACAGAAATGTTTTCCAGTTTACAAATGATTGAAGATAAAAGTAATACATTTTAAAATTAAGCAAAATTTAAAAATATCAAAAAGAAGGCTTCTTGAGTGAAGTGAAATGAAGTCACGGCGACACGGCAACCCTGGGAAGGGTTTCAAACATGCCCATGGCATAAGGCACCATCCGCACCCTCTCTCTGAACAACACTGGGGACCCAGGGAGTATGGCAGGGCAACAGACACCCACAGCTCGGCTCTCAAGTCCTTTTGGCTGGCTTGGCTGTCAGCTGCTTTTCTCTTTCAAATTCCTTTTCCCTCTGCTGTTCCCTTTCCAGCTCTTCTCTCTGTCTCTTCTGCTGGAGCTTAAGAGCTCTTTTCTGTAGAGAGATGGTGGGGGGGGGTGTCAAGGGCTACAGTTATGACAGAACTTAAAAATAATAATGTTTGTCTTGAGTTAACCAATACTTTTTTAGATTGTTTTTTAATTCTTTAATTACTACTCATATTTACATATCCATCCCCCCATTCCCTTGCCCTCCCATCCTCCCATGTTCTCCCCAACCTTCCCCAACCTACCCAATCAATACTTTTAAATTTATTTAATTTAAGGTCCTCTTAATTTAAAACAACAACAAAAACTTTACTCCAAGCTCACTAAATATAAACTGCAACTTCATATGCAGAGATGAGCCTACCAGTCCAGCTACTAGTGGAGGGACCAAGAGATTTTATTTTTAAAGGGAAATAATGTAGCATGAGTTAGTCTTTTACTGTACACAGAAGTATAACAAGTCATACTGATGAAAAACAACACACAAGGGTTCCACTCACTTTTAACTTGGATGTTTTCTCATGAAGCATCAGCATCTCTTTCCTTATATTCACCAGCTTGGCATGATAGTGCTTCGCTTCTGTGAACTTGACAGAGTCAGACAAAAGAGACAGAAATGCCAAGAATGATGACCATGTCACCATTTAAACTACAGTTCATCCTTCCTGAACTGATGAATTTTAAAATCTCAATTGTGCCCATATTTTAAGTTCTCTGATCCAGATTTCATTCAACCATTAGCAGGATTTTGAAAACATTTACTAAAGATGGGTATTGTGGCACACTCCTTGATCCCAGCACTCAGGAGGCAGAGATCTTTAGATCTGTGTGAATATGAGGCCAGCATGATCAGTATAGTAAGTTCTAGGCCACCCATGGCTACACACACACACACACACACACACACACACACACACACACACACAACAAACAACCACCACAAAGGTTATTAAACATAAAACAGACATTTACATTAAACAGATTATAAACAACAATTTGCTTCAAAAATGTACCCCATACAGAAATTAAAAATTAAAAGCCTTTTTGAGAGAACAGGACAGTTAGTGATGTGCCTTCCCGTAGGAAAATGCCAGTCATAGCACAGATTCTGAGAGAATGGCAACAAACACAGTCATATAACTTGGGCTTTTGAAGTCAGAATCACAACAGAGCCACTAATGGATACACATTGCTTCCCCAGAGAGAAAAGTGCAGACTCTGTATTGCAACCTGCAGTCCAAACGGCCCAGCTGGGAGAAGCTGAAGGGTGGCAGAGGTCCAGACAGGTGGGAGAGAATGGAAAGGGAACCTTATTCTCAGAGACAGAGAAAGAAGGGATGAGAAACGGGCCTGAAGAGAGAGGGGCTGCCTCTCACATAGCTACTAGTAAAGTCAGCTCAGAGCCTCTATGTCTGTGAGCTTTTAAGGCATTCCAGTTCCCAATTCCTACATGAGAATTAAAACCACTCTTGAGCAAACGGAAGTGAAAAATTCAGTTCTGTCCTTCCAGGCTCACGCAACAGAATTCTGTCCATTTATTATTATTATTCAATTTTCACTCATTCAACAAATACCCATCCAACCATAATGTCAACACCAAGGAAAAAAAAGTGAGTGAGTATGGCTATGCTCACCTCCTCCACAAGAAGTCAGTCAGCTGCTGAGAAGACTACACTCTCTGTGCCTAGCCTGTCAAAGCTGGAGAACACTGGTGGCTACATAAGGAAATGGTCTGACCCACATTTGTCATACAAAGTCTACTTGTGAGTGTTTAGGAACCCTTGCAATGTCATGCTGGCAAGTGGTTCCTAATGTCCAGAAAGGGAAAGGAGCAACACACCCTTGCCTATGCTAAGTCCTTTTTCTTAACTAGATGCTATCCCCTAACAGCATCTAGTGAATCCAACTATCTAACTACTCATCCTCAACATGTCCATCTCACCATGGCATTGGAAATACTAATAATTAAATATTAACCAAGACACCAAATAACTGACCCTGCAAAAATGACCACACTTTCCTTAGTGGTAAACACAGTGTCTCAAATGTCCCTTACTTTCCATTGTCTTTTTATGTCATCATTTCTTGAGATCTTCTCTACAACACAAACAGACTGAATTTCCTAATACATATTCAGCATGTGAAAGACAGCAACCATGGGAATCCTAACAAACCAACCAAGATTTCCCTGTGAAAAAGACAAATTCTACACATAAAAGTTAAGAAGACAAGACCGTCAAAATGCAGAGGTACAAAGCCTTTCTGAAACAAGACCTTGTTAAGTTCCCTAAACAAAATTATACTTACTAAAGCATTGATGTCCAGCATGGAGTGGCACTCTTTAAATTTTGAAATCTCTTGTTCCAGTGTATCTAGTAACACGACTTGGTTCTGTCTGAAACAAAAGCACACAGCCAGAGCCAACTTTACATTTCCTAAGTATGGGTTCACTACAAAGAACCACATTCATTCCCACTAATGAGAAAGCTGGAAACCCAGCTGGCAATACAGTGCCTGACTTTCCCAGTATCAGAGTTCAAAGACATATTCTGACAGCTAAGTGTATGCTTTACTTTTGTCATAACTTCAAACTTTAATAACAAAATGGTCAGATGACTGAAAAGTACTTTACTGTTTTAACAGCATTCTGCATTATCCCCCCCAAGCATTCTCTCTTATAGCATTTTGCTCACAAAACTCAATTTTCTCTGCATCCTAAAAATTGGAGCTTCCCCCAAAAGTAAATGAGAAACAGAGTTCCCTCCTTTGGCTTTGGATAAGATGCAGTGAAGGACAGCACTTGGGGGAGGGGGCACATGAGCTGCTCGCTGGAATCAGCACAGCATACATGGCCTTTCCCTCACGGCTGTGTGGCCTAGGAAAGTCATGTTACTGCTCTTGACCTAATTCTCATTTATACAGGGAGAAGGTCAGACAGGACAACTCCAAGGGTTCCTTAACATTTGGATGCAAAGGCTATGAGGATGGGAGGGTGGAAGGGAGGGAAGTAACACAGAAGGGTCACCTAAATGAATATTTTAAAGGGAAATAAAACATGATTTGTTTCAAAATAAAGACCAGTGAAAGGTGAATTAGCAATGAGACTGAAGGTCAATCACATGTTCACCATCAGGCCTGGGTCTGGGTACCGATAGGTCACTAATCTGTCCCTTCAAGTCAGACAAGGGATCAAGGAGAGGAGTACAGAGTGGAGACCAGGACAGCAAAAGACAAGAGGTCACAACTGAAAAACAACAACAGAGGGTGAGGGGTGATGGTGGTGTGAATTAATGAAAGCAAAGGCTTTAGGGTCAATAAATGCCATCAGCCAGAGCAAACAAGGAAAAAAAGGACACAAATTGCAAGTATCCTTCATGGAAGAGATGATCATCATTGCTGTTATGGTATTAAAAGGACAGTACACTCCAACAAGTCTGAACACACATTAGGATCACTTTAGATGGAGCAGACCAATTCATTCAAAGACACCAGTTATCCACACTCACACAAGGAACACTCATTCTCAATTTTCCTATAAAGAAACTAGACTCTCTACAAGTATTCATTTCACTTTTGACATTTAGATTATGAATTACTCCGTGAATCTCATTTACAAAACACAGAAATGCTCAACGATCAATGATGCAAACGACAACACTGTCATACTATATGCCACTACCAAGTGGCATCTGGCTACGCAGAAGGAACTGACACACAGCCAGCTTTCTATTGGCTTACGTGAGTTCCTGCAGGGCTTGCTTCGACCTCTGCAGATCTGGTAAGTAGTGGGACAGCAGGCCTCCCACCAGTTGCTCCACAGCTTTGTCCTCCACAGTGAAGTCCTCTATCAGTCCTTCATCTGGAGAAGCATCACTCAAACCTGTGCTCAAGAGAAAAGCAAATTTAGGAAGCTCTAATGCTGCTGCACTGAAAGGAGGCTAGGGGAGCTCAGCCAGGGAGGAGGGAAGAAGCCCACAAAGGAGCTAAGAGGCACACCTTGCCTAACTACAGCAGTCATTCCTTTCAAATGTGTACCTTCTGAGCTTTCACTAAAACATGGCAAAAAAAAAAAAAAAAAAAAAGCTTTGTTTTAGGTTTTTCTCGTTTTGAAACAAGGCTTCCCTGTGTAGCCCATGCTGGCCTAGAACTCTCAATCCCACTGCCTCAGCCTCCTGAGCTGTGTATCACCAAACCTGGAAAAAAAGTAATTTTCAGCTTCAAGTACAGAACAAAGGCTAGAGTAAACAGACATTAGCATATTCAAATTTTACATGTTTACGTAAAATTTATGCTATATTTACCAAGCAGTGAGACTGAAGGATGAGTAATAGTTACTGAATTACTGAATTCTTGAATTAATACATTAATGCTTTGAAAAGCATGCAGAAATTACATAAATAGATGCTGGTGAGGCAGCTCAGTGGGTCAAAGTGCTTGCTATGCAAGCTGTGCCATCTAACATCCATCCCTGAACCCACAGGGGGAGGAGAGATGCCTCTGACAACTGTTCACTGACTCTTACAGGGACACAGTGGACATTCTCTCATTCATTCATTCATTCATTCATTCATACTCTCTCTCTCTCTCTCTCTCTCTCTCTTTCTCTCTCTCTCTCTCTCTCTCTCTCTCTCTCTCTCTCTCACACACACACACACACACACTCAGAGAAACAAGAAATAATAAGGAAAATAAAAACAGGGAGGATTGAGGCTAGGCTCACAACCAAATGGAAAAGAAAATAAAAATTGTTAAAAGAAATTATATAAACAAAAATGCAATATTTAAAAAACCAAACACAATAGAAAGAAAAATGCAGGCCATTTCTTTTGTTTAATATATTTACATATAAAGGAGGCTGTTGTGTAATGTATTAATTAAAACTCAGCACTTTGTGTGAACCAGGGCCAAAGCTAGGAAAATCAGCTGGGAAATGGAGAACCCACACCCTGGGCCTACTGACACAAGTTCAGTGATGTGTGCTGACTCAATTCAAGAAGGGAAAAAAAAAAAAAAAGATTCAGTGCCTTGATTTACTATAGGAAATAATGTATACTAATTGTGTCGTGGGCTAATCTAGACCTGATGCCAGGAATGATGTCTCATCCTTGTCCAGGCATTCAAATGACTAAAATAAATATACATCAATGACTATTTCCAGGAAAAAAAAGTACAGAGCCATTTTAAAGTGGAGTCAATGGATGTTTATAAGGTTTTTTACAATCAATGATTATGAACGAGAAAAGGGTAAAATGTTCACTAAAATATTACTCCCAAAGCACTTCACAATTAACATTAAGCTCTGAAACATGTTATCAATTATAGTCTAGTAACATCAAATTAAGATGGGACTGGAGGGATGGTTCAGTGGTTAGGAGCACTGGATGCTCTTACAGAGAACTCCAGAACATACTGGAATTCTCAAAGTTGCAAGGCACAACTCAAATGGGAAAGATGTAAGCAGAAACTGAAACAGTCCAAACCAAAAGTGAAATAGCAAAAGAGGAAGACTTGGTAACAGTGTGCTATTAATAATGTACCTTTGGGTGAAAAATGAAAAACATAAATTTGGAAAGGAATCCCACTGCTTAAGGCTGGTTTATAGTAACAGTGCAACAAACACCAACTTCAAATAAACACAGACAATGTATCATAGGTGAACAGAAATACCCAAATGATATTTCAACTATAAGATGTCACACACACACACACACACACACACACACACACACACACACACTCTTTAACTCATATTGGATAGCTACCAATTAATGTTTTTATACAGTAGTTAGTTACTATGCTCCATGTACTAATTTTTAGTCATAACATGGCAGTGCACATTACAGGGGAGTATGCAAAGCCATTACCAAAATAGTTACAGAGCCTGAGGTAATTTCTAAAGGAAGTCTGGCCGTAGAAGACACCGAATGCCTTCATTTCTTTTCTTTTCCTTTTGTTCTCTTTGTTAATCACTGTAAACACTTAAGCCCATGGAAAGGGCACAACTTAAACTAAAAACCGTCCTTCTCATGACCTGACTCCAGTGAAGTCACTCTGCAATTTTCTCACACAGACATTTAGAAACTGTTTTACCCAGCCCATGCACACGGTCTTTTTTATCATAAATGAAACATACTATTCTGAAGGTCTTCTATTTTTTGTTTTAAGACAAAGTCTTGCCACACAGCCCATGTTGGCCTTGACCCTCCTGCTTGAGCTTCCCAAGTGTTAGCATGTGCCATCACGTGTAGCACAATGTATATAGATCTACTTGGTTCTTAGCAGAACCAAATTCTATAGCACTTGACCCAGTCTCCTGTAGATAGATTTCATTATTTTCACTTTTTGCTATTTCAAACAGTGAAAACGTTTGTGATCTTCTAGCTGATAGGAAGCTGCAGTGGTATTCCTAGCTAATCTTTGTGCATTCCTGTTTCTATGGAATAAATTCGTAGGTAACAGTTGGGACAACATATCTGTGCAACCTTTGACACTGCAAAATCCCTCCTAAAAGATGGCACCAACTTTCACTGCCACCACCACTTCCAAGTGGATACGAATCTATGTTATGAGTGTAAAGGATGAAACATTGTTAGGGAAACAAAATGAGGAAAGGTGGGAACAAGATGTGCCTGGAACATGGCATACGGAGAACAGGAACAGTAAACCGTTAACATGTGCTATGCAGACAGTCTGTGAGGATCCCTGAGTGTCAATTTTACGGGTCTAAACTTAGTGGTAAGAAGCCATTTAAGGATTCTAAGCAGGGGAATGACATGACTGGAGCTTTCTTGGAGAAGTACTGTAACAATAATAGAACAATGTTGAAAGACTAGAGATGGACTAGCTTTAGAACTCCAGGGTGCAAACACAAAAGGGAGATAACTGTATTGTAGAATCCTCTAGACTAAACAGAGGGAAAGCAATAGAAGAGTTGGACGCAATTTCAAAGTTTCATGTAAAAGTAACCTTACACCACTAACAGAAGATCGGACATATGAGGCTAGGGATCTAGCTCTGCAGCAGAGAACTTGCTTAGCATGAAGCCCAACCTGCAGCACCTATCCCCACCTCTCGCCCGCTCTCTGACATCTGCTTTTATTTATGCGCATGCTACTCGAGAGTTTTGTGCAAAAACAAAGAGTGGCTCCAGCTGCAAGTAGGTACTACAGGCTAATTACAGACACAACTGAACAAGTCACGAAGAGGGCACGCCGTTAAAGAAAAGCCAGGCCAGGAAATGCTGAAAGTGAATTTGTAGCTTCCTATTTCTGGAACCAATAAATTATTTTTAGAAGGCACGACAAACCTTTCTTGTCTAGGGCCCCTCATATGAATCAAGGCGCGTGGAAAATGCTTTGAGCGGTGATGTTCTCAACCTCACATAGACGATGGTGCACATGAACACTGCCTACCTACCCGGCTGTATAATAAATTAACCCTTTCGTTCAATGCCTTCGGGCATCGATGCTGAAATCTCTCCCGGAACTGTGGGGACGGCTGCTGGAGTAAGTAATGACGAGTGACGGGTAAAATAATGCCACCAAGCAAGTCAGACTATTTCATGAGTAGCCAATATTGGACAGTTCTCTGAAAATCGACAGTCTTTCTGACAAACTCATCCCCAACCACTGACCCTGTGACAAACGGTCAAAAGACAACACAAACTCAGAAATTTTCAACACGGAGCGCACGGAGTCGTGCGGTTCCCTGCGGGACCAAGGTTGCGGCGCGTGGGTGCCCCAAGCAACAGGGCAGCCA